CGGCCCGCCCGCAAACGGCCGTTAGCCTCGCCCTCGCCGGCCGCGGCCCTCCACCAGCCGCACTGGCCCTGAGGTGACAAGTGGCCTGATTTCCACGAGCGAGTGCTGTTATCCCAACGGTCACAGTTTTCTACTTGGCTAATACCACACGTTTCAGGCGTTCCTGCCACGACTATATTTCAGTTCTTTTGTTCGCCCTCGTGTCGCCGTGGCGCTGAGTAGCCTCAGAGTAGGTCGGCGAAGCACCGCGGTCTAGAGGGACCGAGCCGCCGCGTGATGGAGCAGGTCAGGCTGAGGGGAGGGATCCCAGTAAGAGAAATATGAACGTCTTCAAAAAATCCTTTCCCCCCCCCCTCCCCCCCCGACCCACTTGCCCATGAAAAAGTGGATGAGCTGTTCAATTGGTTAGGTAAGGAAGGGTGGTTTTTTGACATCTGTGATAAACTATTTTATGTCTAAGCTGTATTTCAAATTACATCTTACAGCTATATTTAATAATGACCTGGAAGCACTCAAGTACAGTGCTCTTTTCTAGCAAGGTGCACGGAGATGGTGTCGCCCTCTCTCTTATACTATACCATAATATATCAAGTCAATGCCAGTTGGGCTTTTCATTTTAGGGAGTTGTGGCAAGCTTCTCTCATACCTTTTCCAAGTAGCTCGTGCAGGGCCTGATGATGTTAACTGTTCTGGTAAAGCTCCTTCAGTTAGAGGCTGCTGGAGATGAAAAGCTACACTAGCTAGGTTGCTTTTCCAAGTCATTGTAACGGAAGTGGTGTAAATTACTACCTGGTGTTTTGCTTTTTGTTTAAAAGTGGGGTTTTCATATACCCTGCTGGCTGGTATGCTATCAAATTAAACTTAACCCAAAGAAGGAAAAAAGCATGCCTACATCAAATCAGCTTGTGCTAGTATCTTTGCATCCACTGGTTTCATTTCCTAATGTGGAGAAAGCCCTCATCCTGTCATTGGTTCAGTCCTGTGAGGGAGTATTTGCTTGCCTTGCCTTAAGGATCCAGAGTCAAGTACATCCAGCCTAGCTTTTGGGGGAACTGGGAAAGGAGAATCCCATAACATTGAATAAAGAGCACAGGTGACTGGAGTCTACACACTTACTGAAGACAGGGGAATTAAAATGATAGGAAAAACACATTCTTTAAAGTAAGCCCTTCAGAATCTCTTTGAAAAGCTGGAATAGGAAAGATAAAAGTATTAAGCTATATGGGAAATATTAAAAAATGCAGACAAATTATAATTGACACAGATATTCTCATAAAGATGACAGTTCTTCAGCAGTGTAGAAGGCTATGGTCCATCAGTATTCAGCGTTCTCTGAGGGATTTTATGTTTGTGTACTTCTGTGTTTTAAACAGTCTTGTGATTGCCTTTCTGGCAGCTTTGCTGCCTTAAAACACAACCTCACCATAAACCAAACTGCAATCTAGTTAAACAGTTTAAGCTTATACATACTATTTTAACAACCAGAACATAATGTACACATACATTTAGCACCTTTTGTCTTGAAGAATCCTCAGATATGTTACAGAAGTACATTGCAGAGGCATACTCAAATACTCCATTTCAAATGGAGATTTTTACCTATGAATAAAGTACTGATTAATTTAAACTGCCTCTGAAGTAAGAAGTGGCTAATGCATTAAATAAAAACATTGCAGACAATAGAGAAGAAAGAGCAAGAAAGAAACTTTCTATTGATAAAAGAAGAGCTATCAGATTGTTAATGTTAGCAAGAGCAAACAGAAAAAATACATTTGTGGACCTAATCTGCAGACTGAGACAGACTTGTCTGGGCAATCTGTCTGTACTGATTTAAGATATTATCCACACATTCCACTAGTTTGTACCAATCTCAGCTAAAGAGTCTCAACTTTTTCTCAGTGTTGACAGAAGAAATTACCTTCTGCGCCTTAGTGGCTTGAGTTCAGAGAGTGGCATCCTAGCTAAAATTGTTACTGAAAGGTGGGATAGAGCAAAGGCAATCTAATAGACAGTCTCAGGGAAATCAGAAGGATAGCACCTTTAGTAAAAGAGAGCATGCTCACAGTGCAGCCATGGCAGTCCACGTACATCGCTGAACTGAAGTCGCCTATACTTACATGCATCTTCCATTCTACTGAACATTACACAACAGATGGCCAAATGGAAGTGAAAGACAGCTGGGGCCTCTCATATATCAAGCTAAACAGCTGTTTGCCCGGATCGTAGGTGTTAAGGCCCTAAGATTTTGGACTTTGTATTGAAGCAGCTGAGGCACAACCATATGTTACTAATGCCAACTTCTCTACAGCAGGTGTATGAGCTCCTCGGATAGGTGAAACAGGCATCTGGGGCTTACTAAACCACCACTAAGATTTGACAGACCTTATCTATCAACTCCCCCAAAGGTTCAGTCAGTATCCACTTTCCCTAGTGTGTATCGGAAAGCAGATGGTTTGGTATTTGAACCTATAATTCTATTACAGGAAAAAAAGAAAAAAAAAGGATTGAAATAGACAACAAAGGTATGATTTGGATGGGGGAGAAAGTAATAAACAATGAGATCGCTGGTAAGTTCTTATTTTACAGAATAGGAGTCCAGTTTTTCTCTATATTTAAGTGGTTCATTGCTCCAGGGTCTAGAGAGATTAATCCTTTTTTTTTCCTCCCATTGCTTTATTTGACTTTACATATGCTTATGAAAAACACAGCATGGATTAATCATCACAAGACTGAGAAGAACAAAGACAACTCCCGTAAGGGCAGTATAAAGCTCTGATGTTCTCTAGTTGTATGATGTTCTCTAGTTATATGCAGAGTCACTGCACTTACAGCTTAATCTATTTTAACTATTCTAGATAGTGCTAAGATATCTGTTTCTTTGCTTCTAGGAAGTTTTGTATTCATCTGACATCCCACCATTTATGAAAACCTGGAAGCTCCTTTCAAAGCCCAGTAGCTAGAGATAATGAGATATGCCAGTTCTAATCTACAACTGCAGGGAGTCCTGTACAAAGCAAAAACCTATGCCAACA